GGCGGAGGAGAAGGCAGCGCCAGGCTTCAAGGGCCCCTCCGTCGTCTTCGCCCAGGGCCTCCAAGGCCTCGCCCAGGGCCTCCAGGTCCTCGAGCTGGGCCTCCAAGGCCTCGAGCTGGGCCTCCGAATCCTCGCCAAAAAAAACAGGGCCGAGGGGCCCTTCGCCGCCGCGGGGGGGGATGCAGAAGAGAGGAAGAAAACAACAAGAGACGACTAGAAGCCGCTGAAGCCGCTAATGGACCGCTTCCGGCCCACGACAGTCAGCCACGCCCTCGCCCCCCTCTCCGCGAGCACGCGCTTGACCTTCTTGAATTCCTCGGGGAGAAGACAGAGCGGCAACGTGGAAGCAGATTGCCCCAGTGCGACCCTACTTGGAAGTTGGATCCCCTAGGAAAGCAGCATTAGTTGCTATGCTATGATGTGCTATAATATACCGTGTCATGTTATGATGTGCTATGCTATGATATGTTATGCTATGATGTGTTAAGATATGCTGAGCTATGCTGGGATATGTTAGGGTATGGTATGTTATGTTAGGTTAAGCTATGCAACCAATGCCATGCTGTGCTGTGCTATGCTATGATATGCTATGTTATGCGCAGCTGCGCTCTGATGTGCTATACTATGCTATGCTATGTTATGCTGCGCGGTGCTATGTTGTGCTGTGCTGAACTGCGCTCTGCTGTGCTATGCTATGATATGCTGCGCTATGCTGTGATATGCTGGGCTTTGCTATGATATGATGTGCCCAGCTGTGCTTTGCTGCGCTATACTATGCTGTGCTCTGCTATGCCAAAGCTCGGCGAAGCTAAGATGAAGGTAGGCTAAGCTAAACCTGAGCGAAGATGAAGCTAAGCTAAGCTAATATGAAATAAGCTAAGCTAAAGTGAGATAAGCAACGCTAAGCTAAGGGAACGTCACTGGGGGAACTGCAGAGCGGATGCCGGGGCAACCGCCCTGGGCGTTTGACACTGCCCGGCCCTTTGAGCACACCGAGTAAGAACCCTTCTAGGCAGAGCCTAGGTAGGGAATTAGATCCTCAAGTTTCGTGAGATGGGCGAAGAGTCCACCCTCCCATCCATCTGTCCATCTACCCATTCTCCCCCTCCTGGCCAGGCCCTCCTGGACAGCTCCCTGGACATGGGTGCCGAGGCCCTCGGAGATGTGAAGCGTGAAGCAGTTGATTGATTGTGGGCAGGATGCGAGTGGACTGTAAACGACGCAGAGGATGCCAATGAGCAGCATGACGGATTGGGGGGGCAGGTGGATGAGGAGAGCGAGGGGAGAGGGCGGGGGGGGAGAGGGGGATGAGGAGGAGGAGAAGGAGCAGGATGAGGAGGGGGGCGAGAAGGAGGAGGAGGAACATGTTTTTAAACTTATATCCCGAGCTCCTCGGGGAGGTCGCGCTTCTCCCTGGGCGAGACCAGCGCCAGCAACTCCGCGCCCCGCCCTGCCTGCTTCAAGGTGGGGCTCCTGTCCCTCGCGTCGTTGGCCGATTTCAGCCACGTCCAAGCGTTGCCCTGCATGGTGGGGCACGTGCGAATCACATCGTACACGACCGGGTGGGCCTCGATGAAGCTGTCGGCGGCGAAGGCGCGCCTGCGCTTCTTGGCCGCGCACTCGCAAGCTATCGCAGCCCCCTGCTCGGCGTGCGACATCACAAGCTCCAGCGTGGACACGGCCCCGCCCCTCATCGCGCGCGCCCAACCTGCGCGCTGAGACACTGCAGCAGGCATGCCAGCCACGTAGATGTCAGCTTGGGACCGGTCCGTAGTTCGCGCCATGTTGTCCTTCCTGGTGCTGCGGACGAGGTCGACCTCGCAAACGTCCACGTTCTTCTCCACAAACAAGCGCAACCCCTCGAGACTCCGCTTCGGCCCTGCGAACGCATCCCCATTGCGCCGCCACTTCGCACTGCGGCTTAGCGACGCCTTCCTTCGACGCCCCACCTCCTGGAGCACGACGTGGCACATCTCCTCGCTCAAATCCTTCAGAGAAGTCGCCCCATCCATGATGCCGTCCACGAAGTACTCCATTCGCTTATCTTTCAAGGTGGTCTCTTGGCGACTGTGGGAAACAGTCCACCCGCCGCCGCGCGCCGATTCACGCCGCACATTGGCGACGGCTCGGCTACGCGCCACCTCCCCGGCTTGGGCCATCATGTCCTCGACTCCTTGGCGACGCCTCTCGACCCGAGCTTTCTTGGAGTCCATCAGCTCGGCGGCCTTGCGCTTGATGTTATTCTGCGGGGCCCCCTTGTCGATGCGCCCCCATGGCCCTGGGGTGCGAGGGTTGCCGTGCTTGCATAGGTGCCACACTCCTCGAGCAACCTCCGCAATCGTCGACCTGTCCATGCACTTCTCCCAGCGCGCAATTTGGATCTCATCGTTCTCCACCGCGTCAGACCAAGAACTGCGCCGCTGCTCCGCTGCCCATTGAAACTGCTTGAACGATCTCTCCACTCGGCTGGAGGAACCGACCCGCGCAGCATACTGGACAAGGGCTGCCCGAAGTGTCGAGATCTGCGTCGTCTCCTGGGGCTTGCAATGCCTGCTCCATTCCCTCTCCTCCTTCCTCCTCCTTCTCCGTTCTTGTCATCCTCCTCCTCGCTCTCTGCTCCCCCCAACAACCTGCCCACCCTTTTCCCGCGTTTCCTCTCTCTCCTCATCCCTCCACGGCCCCGAGGAACAGAAGAGAGGAAGCTTCAGCCCCGCGTGGTCCTTGCGCGCAGCTTTAGAATGGGACATCGCCATCTTCCACGCCTCGACGTCGGCAAGACCAGGGCTCGCTTTCTTCTGCAAAGCGACAGGAAGCACGCTTGAATACCCATTCAGCAACGCGGGAAGGTCGAGGCCAAGCGTGTTCGCAATCATTTCGCAGCGGGCCTTGCTGGCAGTCTTCGTCTCCAGCGTGTGCCGCCCAACAGTCTGCAAGTTGAGAGCGTCAAAGGCTGCCGCCACTTCGAAATCTTGCCATTCGGCCCTGACAGTAGCCTGAGCGAGGCGGCGCCGTGCGACCATGCGGTTTCTGCAGCGCTCCTTGATCTCGGGCGTCGCGCTGCCGGGGCCGCCTATGGCCCTCGGATGGCCCCGCGCAAAGATCGCCACTGGCATCTTCACCGAGGCATCGTGCACGAACTTCGTGTACCCGAGGTCGTAGCAATGAGACTCGACGAAGAGCACGGCGATGCGCTGCAAGAAAAACGCGTTGTGGCTCGGCAACTCCGCCTCGTCTAAGTCGGGGGAATCGCAGATCCGTGTGTGCGCCAAAGCCTCGTCCCCAGCGTCGGCAATCATCCCCATCTGCAGCAACTTCTCCTCGTCCACGTAGTCCAGGAAGTCGGCGGCAATGTCGCCCTCCGAGCTGCCTTTGCGGACCTGCGCGATCTGCATCACAGTGAGCAAGCACGGCTCGTGGAAGAGCACCCCGCGGCCCGTCGGCTTCGAGTGGCTGTCAAAATGGCAAGCGCACATGCTCATGTCTTTGATCCGCAAGTTGACAGTGAAATGCTCCTGCACGCGCGCAACGTTGGACGAGAACCAACTCTGAAACACCTTCGAATACTGGATGAGGTGTGAGCGATCTATCACCAAAGAACCACCCGTTGCATCATCATTAAGAAATGCATATGATTTCCAACGTGTCGAAGTCAAGCGACGAGAAGCATGTGCCCGGTCCCGAGAAACGATGCGCAGATGTGGCAGAGGCGACCACATCTCTTTGACCGATGGCGCTCGGTAAGGCCTGCCGCGAAGCAAGTTGCCAGCGAGCTGCTCGTCCGGGGCTGCGTCGGCAGCGTAGTGCTCGACTTTGTGCAGCACCGCCTTGAGCAACGCCTGGTCGACCTTCGCCCTCGCCCTGTTGCGCGGCGCGACGAGAAGCGGCGTGCAGAAGTTGGTGGTGATGCGCATCGATGCCTTCGTCAAATCATCTGCACCTACCCCCTGCTTGAGCTGGGCGTGGCCGAGCACCCCCTCGCGGACGTCGAGGTCGTCGTTGGCCGCCTCGGGCGGAGACGGCGGCGGAGGAGGAGGGGGGCGGCGGCGGCGAAGGGGCAGCGGAGGGGGAAGAGGAGGCGGCGGTGAGCTAAGGAGGCGGATCTAAAGGAAGAAATAAGATGACCCCAGGCGCTTTCAATTTCACGCCGCGGATCGGGGCGCCAGTGGTCGAAGCGCCGGCAGCAGCCAGAGGAGATGGTGGCCTCCCTTTTCTCCTCCTTCCCTCCTTCTTCCTCCTCCCCCTCCTTTCTCGCCCTCGCCCCCCCCACCGCCCCCACCCCCCCCCCCTCTCAAAAAACAGTGTCATATGAGAAGAAAAAGGGCGCCTTGAAGCGCATGAGGAGCTTGTGCTTCCGGCTGTCCTGCATGATCGTCGAGCCCCTCGACCCGGCAATGAACTCGCGCTGCGACATCCTCGCGGCCTCGGCGAGGCAGGGGCCCATAGCGCGGACCTTCTTCCTCTTGCCAACGTCCTGAACCCCCGCCGACGACCGGGCCCCCCCCTCCTGGAAATGCGCCAAGACGGCCTGGAACGCGCCAACAGATGGGGCCACGGGCTCAGCCTTGCCGGCCAGCAACAGCTGCACTGCAGCCTGGTGCGACTTCGACTTGGATCCGTGCCGCTTGAACACGAAGGGGCGCGGCTCGGCGGTGAACGTGCCGAAGAGGTCAAGCCTCGAAGGCATTTTGACATTTGCGCCTTACCCCCTCCCACAGAGGCTATCTACGAAGGCCCCCCCGTCCAAATCAGGGGGCAAGGGGGCGGGGGGAGAAGACATATCCGGAACCCGATGTGCCGCCCATAGGGCGGGCTTTTTACTGACCCCCACCCCCCCGCCTGTTGGCCGCCTTGCGCGCCAGACACCCCCGGCCCGTGCTCGCGCGAGGCAGCCAACTGCCAAGTTCTGGATGGCGAGGATCCAATAGGCATCGCGCCGACGAAGGGGGGCGATAAGGAGCGGGGGGATGCGGATGAGGAGGAGGAGGATGAGGAGGAGGAGGAGGGGGGCAGCAGGAAGAGGAGGAGCGACGATGAAAGCCCGAGAAGGAGGAGGAATGACGACAGATGATTGGGAGAAGGATGATGATGATGACACGGAGAAGAAGGAAGATGAAAATAATGATGAGGAGGAGGGGGGACGAAGAGAAAAATAATGAGGAGAGGGATGAAGGAACGCCTTCCAAGAATCCACGACGGATTCCGACGGCTCGCCGCACTTCTCCAGCAACCCCATGGCGGCGGCGGCGGGAGGAGCGAACGGCGCGAGCCCGACCCGACCCCCCGCCCTGCCTCCCCCGCCAGGCGCGATCGCCCCTGGCGACGCGAGGCCTCCCGGTGGTGACCGACCCCTCCCTTCTTCCTCCACCCCTTCCTCCCCCTCCCTCCCTTCTTCCTCCATCCCTTCCTCCATCCCTCCCCCCCCGCTTTCCCCTCTCGCCACTCCCCCCCCCCCCCGTCTCCCCCCTCCCTTTCCCTCTTGGGCGGGAAGGGTTCGCGCCGTCTGCTGCGGCCGGAGCCGCAGGGGCAGCGCAGCGCCAGGCGGGCGCGGGCGGCGCTGCTGCGCCCGAAAATGGGCTTGATGTAGTAAGAGCATGAAAGGAAGAAGATGGAAGTGATGAGGAGGAGGACGAGGAGGTGGAAGAGGAGGAGGAGTAGGAGGAGGAGGAGGAGGAGAGGAGGAGGAGGATGAGAAACGTGGAAGACGGAGGAGGAGGGGGGGTGGGATGGGGGAGGGGGGGGAAGTGAGGGGAGGGGGAGGTGGGGGGAAGGGGTTGGTGGGAGGGGGTGTATTCCTGATGATGGGGAGGATGGGTTTGACCAAGCGCGCCCAAGGCGTCATTGAGAAGTTTCGGCTCCTAACAATCGGAATGGAGATGCGCGGTGAGCGCGAAAAAGATTGCGCTTGCGTGCGCCAGTCACTGTCACGCTGTTGCTTGTACTGTGACGGATAATTGCGAAGCTTCTGCTGGGCGAATGAACATGGGGCGACAGTGAATGGGGGAGATGCAGATAATATTATAAAGAGAAGGGCAGTAGAGAGAGGAGGAGGAGGAAGGGGGCGGAGGAGGAGGAGGGGGGGGGGGGAGGAGGAGGAGGAGGAGGGGGGCACAGTGAAATATCTGATTGATGATGCCACTAAAGATGATGATGACATCGGCGTTGCTGGCTGGGGCAGGGGAGGATTCCCAGCGACCGTAAGGCGAGGTAGGCCAATTAAAGGAGCACGCGACGATGATATAGATGAGGGAAATGAGGAAGAGGGCAACGATGAGAATGAGGAAGAGGAAAGCGAGGAGGAAGAGGACACGGATAATGAATGATGACGAAGACAAGCGCGACGACGATGATGCGGCGTTGACAGCGAGGCATGGAATAAAGACGCTATGTTGGAGGCAACGCCGCATAATCCTTCTTTTTTTTTTTTTTGGGGGGGGGGGGCGCGAGGAAGAGGGGGCTAGGAATGAGGAGAGAGGAATGCCAAACCAGAAACGCAAGAAAGATGAGGAGGTGGAGGAAGAAGGCGGGCCCCACCACCGCCAGGCGGGCCTTGCCACGGCGCGGTGGCCCTGGCGGCGGCGGCGCGGCTGCTGGCTGCGCTGCCGCCCGCCAGCCCCCGCCAGAGGGGGCACCCGGCGCTGTTCCTCCCCCCCCCTCCTGCATTCCCCTTTCGGCCACACTTACAATTTGACCTTTCTTGTCTCTCCCCCTATCCCTGCCCCCCCCCCCCCCCCCCGCCACCCCGCCCCGCGCGCGCGCCTCTGCTTATCCCCCGCCCCTCCTTGTCCCCCGCCTCTCCTTATCTCACCCTTCTTCCCCTCCGCCTCTCCTTATCCTACCTTCTTCTCCTCGCTCTCCCCCATTCGCCCTCCCTCCCTTTCCTCTTGCCCCTCCTGTTCCTCCTCCTCCACATTATCATCCTCTCATGGCTGTTCCTCGTTGCCCCTTGGCACCCCTCTTCTTTCTTCTTCTACAGCACAGAGGAGGGAATATATTTGGGCGATGAAGGCGGAGTTGAAGAATCTGGGGAAGGAAGCAAAACATGAGAAGGCACAGGCCTGAACAATGAGGATGATGAGAGTCATGGAAGCTAAAGAGGCGAAGGTTCTCTCGAGCCCTCGGGGGGCTAAGGGCAAGTGGCGCCGAGCGCTGCCGCGCGCTCTCGGCGCCTGCGCGAGTCCAGGCTTGGCGGCGGAGGGCTTCCCGCGGACGGCTCGGCGCATGCTTCGGCCCAGGGGCGGTGGCGCGGTGGGCGGGGGGGCGGGGCGTCGCGGGGAGGCGTCCGCCTCCCTGCGCAGGCCCGGCTACGAGGAGGACACCCCCATCATCGCGCTGGCCAGGCAGGGCCTGTCCAGGGCGGGGGCGGGGGCGCGAGCGGCCCGTCGCCCCGAGGACGTCCTGCGCATCTCCCTCGGCCGCCTGCAGGCCAAGGGGGGCGAGCGCGCCAAACTGCTCGAGACCGTCGAAGAGCTGGAGGTCGAGGCCACGGCCGCGCGGCAGCAGCGCGACACCGTGGCTGCGGAGATCGCCCAGATCGCGAAGGACGTGGACGAGGCCCGTCGTGCGCTGGCCAGGCCGACGCCCGCGCTCGCGACGCCGCCAGCGGACCTCCTGGCGCTGGCGGCGCAACTGCAAGTCCTGCGCGGGGCGCTGCAGCAGGCGTCTGGAGGTGTGGCGGAGCAGCGCTCGGCGCAGCTGGTGCATCTGCTCACTGCGCGCGTGGGCTCGATGGCGGGCGCGGTCGCCTCCTCGCAGGCCGCCCGGGCTTCGAGCGCGCACGGGGCGACGGGGCCCCCCGTTTCACCGCAGGCGCAGGCGGCGCACGAGGATGTCGACATGGGCTCGGCCGCGGCTGGCACCCGCGGCGCGGTTCTCCCAGAGCAGCTCCCCGATGGCGGCGGGCCGCCGAGGTTGCCAGCGAGACATGCGTAGCTTGCGCTGGCCCAGCCGGGCAAGGAGGCGCGCCCCGCGGAAGGCCCGCAAGCGGATGATTCAGCTTGCCTCCAACAACGTCTCGTGCTGGAGCGCGTTCAAAGACTACTTTGGTCAGGTCTCGAAGGCCGCCCTGGTGGTGGCTGCCCAGGAGTTGCGCCTCGATGGTGGGATCTCAGCGGCTGCGACCTAGGCGGTGGCCAGGGGCTGCAAGGCTCGCCCCATCGCCATGCCGCCTTGAATCGGGGCAGCCCAGTGCGGGAGTTGGCTTTTTTCGCGCGCAGTTTCGTGAGTGCGCGTCTGCTACAGATTTCGTCGGGCATCGGGGGATGCGAAGTCACTCCATCGTGGGCCGTTGCAGCGCATGCCGGTATTGCTATTCCAGGGGGGCGATCGTCGGCGCAGTGCGTCTGGAGTGCTCGCCGGCGCCAATGGCAGCTAGCGCAAAGCGAAGGCTGCCAGACGCTGGGATAATGAAGCGTTTTGAAAGATCTTTCGCGACAGCAGGGGGCTGACATTCCTCCCTTGCCAACCTCGAGGAAACAGGCATCCTCGATTACTTCCCTGCCCAGTGCGTCGTGCCTCGCGGCGAAGGCACCTGCCGCTCGGCTAGCGGAAAATATCTTCCGAGTGCCTACTGGCTTGCGTCGTAGTCCTTGTCGGCCGCCTGTCTGGCTCCGCGCGCAGGAGCAGGACTGGGCGGCCCGTCCTCGCGCCCCCATCCTGTTCTCTCTGTGCGCCCACCCTCGTTCGTTGCAGCAGCTCCCCCCGGCGGCGCCCGAGGCCTTCCTCGCCCCCCCCCCCCCCCCCCCCCCCCCCGCCCGGCTCGCGCTAGCTGTCGCCCATGGGAGGGGGCCCCCTGAACCCCGGCCCTGCGCGCAATTGGTGGAGGAGGGCGCGAGGGGGCGGTTTCCTTCCGACGCCAGTCCGCTTGCCTCTCGGTCGGATGCGCTGCGCCGTTCTTTCGTTCGCATGGTGAAAGCGGATTTGCGCCGCGCTTATCAGGCGCAGCGGCCTACGCAGTTTAGAGGGGGAGACCAGGGGCCCAGATATGTCTGGGGGCCAGTTGGGGGGGATCAGCGCCGAGGGGCGCCCTGCAAGCATTCCCAGGCCTGCGCCTTTCGCGAAATGCCTCGGGCGATCGGTCGCTGCCCGCCCTGACCAGAGAGCGCCGAGGCTTCGGTGCGCAATGCGTCTTGGAAGGAGGAGGGAGGTCACTACCTCGGTGGGCGTGGTCCTGTTTTCGGCCCCCCCTCTCCTCCTCGACGCTGCAGCTGCATGCCGTCCGCTCGCGCGATTTGGCACTGGCATGCAGAGGCGCGCGCGACCCCCCCTGCTCGCCGCTGTCGCGGGGGCGCTCGCCGCGCGCGCCGCCGCGCTGGAGGGGGCTGCCGCGGGGGCTCGCCG